ATGTTTTCACACGTTTTCGAAACAAAATATCCAATGTTTGGAAAATTTGCTGGAGACATTCGCTCGAGCTTGAAATTTTACATGTGATCAGGTATTGTGTCAAACTTTTGTTTTGGAAAATTTAAGCAGTTACTATTATGTAAATTTGCAGGATATAACCGTTCGGATACTTATGACCGCTACTGTAACTCAGTATACCCATTGCAACTATGTGCTACTTATGTGATGCGCAAGTTATACAAAGATTACATAATCATAGATATTTTATATTGATATTACGAGATATGTTTGTGAACACAATCAGATTTTTCGTTATTGTATAATGAGAAGTTCCGTTATTGGATCTAAAAGAAAAAGAAAAAGATTTATAAAAAGAAAATAATAAAAGAGCAGTTGCACACACGTACCAATTTTAAATTCAGTAACACTCCCATTTTCTACACTCCATGCCACATTCTTATGTTCATCCAGTTTATTCTCTAAATAATTTCCGAGTGGCCATAATAAAAAATTAATATGGTCCCAATCAAATATGCGACCGTAGCAGTCAAGAAAAAGCATTCCGTAGTCACGTTCTCCGACAACAATGATGTGATTAAAGCCAAACTCTTTGATACCCTCCATATCATCAGTAAGATCAGTAATATCTAATCCTTTACTTTCACTCCAGATATCATGACAAACAGAAGTTGCAATACGATAACGGTCATATCCATTCTTGATCTTTTCGACTAACATGAATGAACTATTACATGCATCTGATGATTCACATGGTCCATTATCTTCTGACACATTATACATGGGAGTACGATTTTCAATTTTTGGCGTAGGGAAACGGTTCGGGAATACAAGATGACATGGTGTCGTCGGTTCCTCTGTTGTCCATTTACTAGTTCCGAAAGTGCCCACAAAGGAACCGACTCGGAACAGTTCCCCCAATGATGGTTCAAACGCTTTGATTTTTCTTCTGTTAGGGCAACATTCGAACGACACCACTGCAACGCTGGTATTTTTTCTACTCTCGAATTCGTTATCAGCTTGTGGTTGTCGTGTATCGGTGATGTTTGTTTTGGTTGTTTTCCGCTGTTGACCGACGCCCCAAACATGTAATGACTCACGGTCTTTTTTGACTGGGATTGCCTTTTTTTTTCTTTTCTTCTTTCCTTGCTTGTTTTTTGCGATTTTTTCGTGATTGTCTTTCGTCGAGGCGAATACGTGATGTTTATCGTCGTTGGACGAGCTTTTATGTCTGTTTCCATCATCATGATTACTTTGCCCAAGAGTCTTTGCATTTGGTGAAGATAAGCCCGTGTCATTTTCCTCCGTTTGACATGGTATCCCCACAGGAAACAAACGGCGTCCCATACAGTTATCAATAAGACTGGCGGAAGTCTCGGCGGTGACACCACAATCCCTCCTGTTCCGTACGGCATTACGATCCTTTGATATCTATGTAAAAAATATCCAAACAGCATTTTAACCTTAAAAAACTTATTTTCTGTGCAAAAACGACGAAATAACACAATACCTGAAGTTGTTGACAAAAGTCGTTATTATAGGTCTCGTCCATGGTTCTGTAATTGCGAGTTTATTAAGCCACTGCAAATCTTGCTCCTTCATATAAGTATAGTTAGTGGTTTGTGCAACGGATCATTATTTATATTAGTTCTGTCGATCGTAGTTTAAAATTTTCGGTCTCAAATTGAATTATAAATTAATGTTTTGGGAACCCGTTTATTAATTCTTCTAGGAATACCGCATAGTTCCGAAAATAACACTAGTAAAGACAGCCATGCGCATGACACTCACGCTTATGATGCAGTGAGTTGCTTGCGTTGCTTGTAAATTATATACACGTATTAAATTTTTGTATAATACAATAATAACAAAGACACGTAACAAAAAGTCATGCGATCGCGCTTATAATGCAGCAATGTTATTGATACGGCATTTTATTGGTGAGTTGATTGTAGACCCCTAATTAAGATTCGGTGTTATTGATTTATTTGCACAAATTGAGAAAACTCGGGATTTCAGAAATGTTGAAGAAGCGCAGAAAGACGTAGACCTTGTTGCATACACCAGTACATTAAAAATAGGCGTTTCTTGTATCAATTTAAATTTGAGCGAGCATTTTGACTATTCAATAGTCACATAGAAACTAATGCCGGATACATTAAAGATTGTGTAGCACAGATTGAGCAGAGATCCCAATTACCGAAGAGGGGGGTTTTTTTGTTGATTAACAGAAACAAGCTCAGAATTATAACCCATATAATCATTTCTGGTTAAATTGTTTTTAATTCTGACTACAAAATTTTCCCAACCGTCCTGATAAGAAACGTCAAATTCAGGTATTAATAAACGTCTACGTGTATTTTGGGTGGACGATACTTTGCGAATTGTAACCAAGCTTGCAGTGAATTTTTAATATAGTTTAAACATATTCAGTTAACCTGTTTCGGGTATATTTGTTTTTTGTCCATTCCCTTACAATATTGTTATGTCTACTAAGTTGATATTTCAAACGTGTGGATTTTAATAAAGACTTTTTATTTAATTGTTGGCTAGTTTCGGCTTTCTTCCTTGGCTGACGATGCAAACTCGATCTCATCGTACTTGAATGACGACACAATCGTAACTCGTCATCACTTGGTCAATACCGGTTTTTTCCCCAACATCTCTGCCGGCTACGTACGTAACTCCGCAAGCCAACTCCGTGAGCCAACTCCTGCAATGACAACGCAAACATATCCCACCATACTCTAATAATTGAGATTCAAAAAAACTACCTCCAGAAGAGCTTAAAATGGCTATAGGAGCTTAAAATGGCACGGGATTGTTATAGTCTATACCACACCACTAATGTTGTGGGCAATAAAAACAGTTTTGGACACTTTAAAGAAAAATTGCACAAAGAGGGTTTTTCCAGAGTCTGGATAAAGCATCAATGTGTATGCAAGACAAGAAGTGTTTAAACTGAGGGAAGGCCACATTGAGAAAACTCCTGATGGAAAGTTAGACAAATATGCCAACGTTTATGCTGTCCATTGATATCTAGATGAATCTAAACATTATTTTGACACTTGTACGATTCATATAATAAACGATATACATACATATTGGACTATTGATTATCCCCGGCAATTGGCAATTTCGATTGCTGTAACCGCGGGTTCCGAAAAATCACTGGATAAAGTGATCTTGTTCATCAATTCTCAGAATTTGCAAATACTGTACGATTGTTAATAAACGCGTTTACGTTGGTGTCTAATATTTCCCCAACGTATCCCCTACGGACTATCGAAACTAATCTCGTCGATAGAGGGTAGAGGCATAACTGTTGTGTAATTGACAATCGAGAATCTGCGTTATACAGACCAGTTAATGGAGAATTGTGAGTATATTTTTAAAGTTACTTTAAAAGTCGCTAATTTTATTAGCAATTTAAGCAGGCGTAGGTTAGCCAGGCCTCGAGCAAAGGAGCCAACTCCCAAAGCCAATTACTGAACGCTCTCCCGCAGTGGTCAGGATAATTTACAACTACACTAAACTAGACGCGTTTATGAACAATTAATCAGCAATTATTACTCTCAGTAATTGATGTTTACCAGGGATTTGAATTAAGAGTATTGTATTAATGAAAAGAGAACGCGAGGATCATACAACTGCTTTATATATTTCTACCGTTTCACTAGGTTTGGATTAATTAGTTACTGTTGACGTCGTTGCAGAAAAAATTTGTTCTGTGTTACCGGGTGCTGGTAGCGGCGCAGAAATAGGAGAAAAAATACGTCACTATTTAAATCTTAGTCCTCACACTTGACACTGTCGCTCGTTTGAAACATGGCTTCTTTGCCTTGTGAGCTTCTTACAACGATTTTTGACGAGTATGCAAACGATTCCTCTACTCTCCACTCTTGTATTTTAGTCAACAGAAACTGGTGCGCGGTAGCTCTTCAATACCTGTGGGCTAAACCTTTTACCTTGTTGTGTTCAAATCTAAGGAGGACAAACAGCCAATCAACCAACCTCATAGCCACATTTATTGAATGTTTTACTGATGTCGACACTCTCGAGAACGCCTTACAACACTGCAGTAAAAAGTTTCCTTTCGATTATCGTCTTTACTTAAAGGAGATTCATTTTACGGAAATCTTTTATTTGACAGAAGAATGCTACAAAACCAGGGTGCAAGTCAGAATCGCCGATTTGGCAATTAAATATTGTCCAAATCTCAAAACTCTTTCGTTTACAACACATATACGGTATCCTTTGACTCAAAGCCGATTTCTAAAGTCTGTCAAAAGCCTCCCCGGTTTGCAAAATTTAAGCTTGTGTTCAGACTTGGATAACATGAATAATGTATTCAGAGCATTTTCTAAGGTTGCACATAATTTGACATCAATTTCAGTCGAAATCTACGGGAAGCGATCACATGACTTTGAAATATTGCAACACGGGTTCCAAAAACTCATACAGTCTCAACATCAATTAAAAGCAGTTGCTATGAAGAATGTGAAGATCAAATCACCGTTTAAATTGTTGGAGTCTCAGTCGAATTCTCTGGAATCAATTGTGTTCAAAGACGTATCCTTCGACCGGGATGATTTAACCGTTGAAACAATCAAGTTTCATCAATTGACAAGTATCTGCATAAATAAATGTCGGATATCATCAGGAGGGTTAGGATCAATCTGCAAGGCCAAATTACCAAAGTTACAACATCTCGAGCTTAAATTTACTAGTTGGCTACACGCAAGTGACTGGATTTTGTTGCGCAATATGTACCAAAATCAAATAATTAAATCTGGATGGAATACTGTTGGTATATTTGGTGGTCAGGATTTAGAAGATTATAACTGAGAGCTATATCCTAGTCATATTACATTTCAGAATATTATTATCACTTTGGGTAATTACATATTGGTGCAATTTACTAAACATCTTTTCGAACAAGTCTTCTTTTTCTTTTCGCTTTATAAATCTGCAAGATTAGTAGTAACAACCATATGTTTATTACCTTGAGTAATAAATAACGCAACAATTCTGTTGCAAACAGTTGCGCAATTCCTAAAGCAAGTCATTTTCGTCTTCATCTTTTTAGGAGCCTCTTGGACACTTGCAATAATTCATCATACTGAGATATCGCTTGTTTCTAGATTCAATATAAACTTTTGCGCTCACAACAAATTATCAACAAGCATCGAATGACTTCATTTTCTATCCCAGTTACGTTATCCAGTGGTTTATTGCCAACGACTTCCAAACAAGAAATCTCAGACAATCGAGCATACGCCACTAAAATAAAATACTCTAACTGTCACGTGAAATAGACTTATCGAAGGTTGACTGACTTGCAGCATATTTCGATTCTTTATATGTCGACCGACTTATCAAGAGATTTAAACGTTGATCGAAATCGACTTGTCGAATTTGCCTATATTATGAAATTATTATTTTCTTTTCACTTAAATACTTTAGAATTTCTAATCACAACAATTTAGTTTGGTAATTTAATTTCCGAACGGAAATCGGAAACGTAACATCATACGTGATTAGTAAAACATGTCTGGTTTCGTTGCAGCATCTCCAAATACAAAATAGATAACTAACCAACGACAACGAGGGCGCTTTCGGTTATTTTAACCAGGACATATATTACATTAATGCGATTAATAAAATTACTTCCAAATGACAGTTACATATAAACATTTAAAAAGCGTATATACGCGCGTCAATTCAAGACCGCATATTCTTTCTGTTTGCGAGCAGCATAACCACAGATACTCTTTATTAATGTTGTGTCTGAGTTTGGGACACGTCTCAGAGAGGAACCCAGTCACGCTCAGTTGTCTCGGTCCAGTCCCAACTGAGATACAACAATTAATACCACGATGTCTTCCTCGCTTGATACATAAATGTGATGGCTTTACTGCATACATGATTATAAAGCTCGCAAAATTGACCTTTAAGTGAGCGGGTTGTTAACCATTTCTTCTTCTCTTTTTTTTACTACTTACGTACGTCTGATTGACTACAAAATACAGAATAACATTCGCTTATCAATTTCTTTGCTTGCAAGTATAGTTATTGCGTATGTAACCAGATATTAACTTTGAAAATAGATTATTTGCATTAAATAAATTGAAAGGCTATTAAAGTTTTTGGACCTTACTCGATACTTTTTCGATACTTTGATTTCTACTCTAATGATTACAAGCATTATTTGTTCCACAATTCAGATGGCTGCACAGTCAGTTGTGCGTGTATCCCTTAAAATTTTTTATTCGTCTCATCAAACTCCCCTTGTTTAGTTGCTATTGTCTTATCTTTAAACAAAAGGTAACTCACGATTGTTTAATCCTTCCCGCATTGAGGTTTAAGGGCTTGCTTAAAAGGACACAATGATGACATTGATTAAAAAAAGTGTAGTGTGTATAAATTAACAGCTTCCAAATATAGTTAGGAATGTCAACTTGAAATTCGTAAATGTAAAATAATTGGTAAATCCCCATCAAACATTATTTTGCCAAATTTAGCAAGCCCCTTCCCTTGATTGTGTTACTA